CCAACAATTTTGGAAGAAATTCAACTTGGAAAGTCGAGTGTTATATTTGATATTTTTAGCACCCATAAAATTAGCAATTACATCTAAACATCTACCATTATAATAAAAATCTTTATTAATTAAGTTTAAACTTGGCAAAAATGTTATGTTGTATTATACTTAGTTATAGAGCAGACTACAATGTATAGTAAGACGTAAATTTTTAAAATAAATTTGTATTTATATATAAATAAATTAAACTAAATCCCTTGTTATTATTTTACTGTACAATAGTCTGCCAATAACGATTAAACGCGAAGATGGCTTGCACGAGGAACGCCAGATATTAAATCTCATAACGAGTCTTATATTGTACGAGAGACAGTGTATATAAGCAAACTCTTTATTAAAAAAACAGAAACTTCTTATTTACTTGAATGAACTTTTTTTATTATAATATACTGTACATTATTACCTTATAAACGAACATAATGTGTAGCCACAATCCAAAAATATGGGTTATAAGTAAAAAGTAGGTAAATAAGAGGATCAAAAAATTAACACTAGGTATAACCACTTACACAGATGTCACTTTGAAAACCAAAAACTATTTTTTTTTTCAGTGAGACCAAAAACGGATATTTTCTTCCAAAAGTCTAAATCGAGAATAATTTTACAAAAAAAAAAAAAAACAAAAAAAAACAATGCATTCTCCATAATTATGCCTTCTATGTACATAGGGAGAAAGTACGCTGCTTATTTACAATCGTTTATTTATAGAGTTGATTTAAATCTTCCAATATCCTTGAATGATTTAAAGCAAAAGTTCAATTCAACTTCCATGTAAGTAAAACCGAGTAAGTAGTAAATCTGCAAAACAGGGCGCGTCCAGAATGCGTCGTTCGCAGTGATTTAATGCAGCAGTTAAGTTTCATTGCACCAACCAGCTGATTTGCTCATTGCTCAATCCAAGCTAATAAAGAATTTAATACTTTAATTATCCTAAAATTGATTTGAAACTATTTAGTAAATTTAAAAGTCATATATAATTTGAAAGATTTTGTTTAAACTAGAGTTATAAAATGTGTGTCAACGTACGTCATGTACTGTGTTAAATTATATTGATGGTTAGGTTTAAACTTTTCAGGTGAACCAAGGGTACTTAAAATTTAATTACCATTGACATTTTAGTTCACACAGCATTGTAAAATGCGTGTTGACATATGTTGTCGGTATAAATATTAAACCTTAATAGCGTAATTTATATTGGCATATTACTTTATAATGTATAACTAGTTTTAATCCTCTTATTTAGTTAAACAATCAAGTAAAAATTCTACAGATGTATTTTCCTCATTTGATGATAACAAATAATGAAATGGAAATCAATTGCTTTTTACATTTTTCATTAATTAAAAAATAACCAAAACATTCAATTATACTTGGTGAAATTAAATGTCCATACAACAAAAGTATATAAATGTATCCAGTCTCTATAAAGGAAAAAGTTGTTTTCAGGAACATTTAAGCTTTGACATAAATTAAATTATCACTCTGTCTTATTAAGCTTTGCATTTAAAGACCTAATTCGTTTCAAAATTTAATCGTTCATCTTAAGCCATAAACATTTTAGGAAATTAACTTTATCGTAATATTAAAAAGTGCACTTAATAAAAGTGGATATATGTGTAATACATAAACGATGTGTGTTTTTTTAACGATTGCCCTAATAATTTTCAAATACATGCCTTAAAGACACATCCTTCAAAAATGTAAACAGAATTCTAACCGTAAGGAGAGGATTCAAGGAATTGAGTGAAAAAATGCCTTACATAGTTTCAAATCATAACCGGAATTCCCGCGATTCAACGAAAGGAAGTTGAACATTTGATGCCGGAAAATCCGTTATCTTGATCTTTCGTTGAAACATACGTCATGGAGGAGGATTTTAAGTTCTTCTAAATACAAAAAAAAACATTTAATACACCAATAAATCGTAAATAAACTATTTTTCTCAGCGACAAAATTAAAACTGCAGTTTATGGCATAGCTTGTACAATTATTGTACGTTTGCAAAAATATTTTTTTTTAAGAAATACTACATTTTCGTTATATTTGACAAAAAATTTCCAGTAAGGGCAGCTTTTCCCTTTGTCTACTAATATTTGTTTTATAAATACATGAGTTTTTATTACTGCCATACGGAATATTGTTAGGCCCAGCTCTAAAACAGTTTTTCTCATATATAAAATAATAAATACAATAACTATATAATAATATAAGACAAGATAAGAGCTGTCAAAAATCATTGCATACGTAACACAGAATGTTGATTGCTATTTTGAAAACAGTAGTATTTCTTTGGACAACAAATTTTGAATTGACTGGAATTAAAATAAATTATTAGCTATGCAAATTTAAATGGCATACAAAACTCTATTAAAAACAATGATTTAACCGAGTTCAATTCAAATTTTAAAGTTTTAGTCGTTCATAAATTACTATTCGATGCCTTCATAAAAACTGAACGTAAAACATTCTATCTTTGGTGCGTTTTAGAATTCCTAAATTGTTCGATTGATTGTTTGGGGGAGTAAAATGTAAGATAATTACAAATTAGAGAGTTAGAAATAAGTAAAGTTCGAAGGACCACCCGATTAGGTCGGGAACCATAGAGCTGGGAAACACCTTAATTAAATGAATGAATTAAAGAGAGTCACTCACCAATTTCCAGTGTTCTACTAGGCTAAGGGAAGGCCTCGTGTCCAAGCTAGGGTGTTGCACAGAGGGAAGTCACTAGGGATAGAGGATCTTGATCTTGATTGGCTTGAGCGTTCACGCTAACACGAATGTATTTCAACAAATAAATATCTTCTGTCACGGTAGACCGTTAACGATACGTCCACGTAGAAATGTCCTGAGAATCTGCTCACGAACGCGCACAAAGAAGTTCTAGAAGAGTAGAGCACAGAGGGGGAGAGTAATTTAGAACAACACAAGGGACTATAAAACACTGACTTTGATTTAGAGTAATAAGGGGCTTTACTTAAAACTGAGCAATGATACATAAGAGAGAGTTACCAAGAGTTAATTAATCCAAACGCCTATAAGAGAAGCGTGGACAAAAAGGGGACACAGCAGTACGCTGTGCACGAGAACAAGAACTGAGCCGAACTGAGCTTTCCTGTGAATACAGGTACGTTACAAGCGCTGGGAAATTCCGTTGCTGGCGGAAGTGACTCAGACTGGGCTTCGTCTATCTCTGTCTGCCTTACTCAGATAAAACTAGATTACATTACGAAAATATTAAAACTCAAAATATTGATTTGTTGGTAGAAATTCTTATAACTAAAAATATTACTAATTAATATATCTTATTGACTAAACATACCGGCCCCCTTGAAGCAACATAGGCTTCAACAAAACAACCACACTTTGAAAATCACAAACTCAGAGAAACTTAACTAAAATCAGGGGGGGTAGTCCATCAAGAGTTCAACTAGTCGAGAGGGAGCGGGAACACTTTCACCGCAGGTCTCTTGAAATGTCCAGAGGTAGTCTTGAGTTCAACCACTCGGACAATTCCGTCTTTGCCTGGATGAACATCTGTGATTCTGGCAAGAGGCCATTGTAGGGTAGTTGAAGGGGAGTGAAAGAGCACTAAGTCCCCAACTTTGAGATTTTCCTCTTCCTTTGACCACTTTGATCGTTGTTGGAGCATGTGGAGATATTCAATACTCCAACGTTTCCATAGACGTTGTTGGAGAGATTGTACCAGGTGGTAGTGTTTTAGTCTATTGATGGGGTATTCTGCCACATCAGAATCAGGAACTGAAGCTAAGGGAGCCCCGATCAAAAAATGTCCTGGTGTGAGAGCGGCTAGATCAGCAGGGTCACCAGAAAGAGGGGTGTGAGGCCTGGAATTCAACATTGCCTCCACTTGAGTGGCTAAGGTGATGAGTTCTGGTAGTGTGAGAATCGGGTCTCCCATAACACGTTTGAAGTGGTATTTAGCACTTTTGACTGCTGCCTCCCATAATCCACCTTGGTGTGGAGCAGCAGGGGGATTGAAGTGGAAGTTAATTCCTCGTTGTACTGCAAAACAGTTGATTTCTTGTTGGGCTGACAGTGAAGAGTTTGACTTGATGATACTTCGAAGAGCAGCATCGGCACCCACAAAGTTTGTACCACAGTCGGAATATATGTCCGTGCAAAGTCCTCGGCGGGATACAAATCGGGTGAGTGCGGCGAGAAAACCATTTGTGGTGAGGTCAGTTGCAACCTCGATGTGCACAGCCTTCGTCACCATGCACACAAATATGCACAGGTACACTTTGATATGTTTGGAGAAACGGAGATTAAACACTTTAGCCGTAAGAGGTCCACAATAGTTTATTCCAACAGAGAGAAACGGACGGGCAGGAGTGACCCGTGAGAGAGGGAGATCACCCATTAAGGGAGTCTTGTTGCGTGGCTTAGCCTTGAAGCACTTTACGCACTTGAAGATGCGTGAACGTATGACAGTCCGTGCACTGAGGATCCAAACGTTTTCAACCAATAGAGCTTGAGTTAGCTGTGGACCAGCGTTGAGATGAGTCACATGGTAGTGGTCGATAAGGAGGTTCACTACGTGGTGTTTCTTCGGTAGAAGTATCGGATGACGAGATTCAAAAGGGAGGTTGGGGTTTTCTAGACGTCCACCAACACGGATAAGGCCGTCAGAATCAATGTAGGGTTTTAGACGTTGGAGTTGAGTGGAACAATTACGCTTATTTTCGAGTGAGGTCAGGTCATTAGAGAAAGCAGATTGTTGAATAAGTCCAAAGATCTTCCGTCCAGCAGCGTTGATCTCGGATGAGGAGAGATATCCCGTGAGGTTATTAGCACTGCGACAGTTGTGTATGGAGCGCAGAACTAGAGCGAAGATGCGCTGAAGTTTGTTCCATGACGAGAACTTTGTTAGAATATCCCAGTCCTTCTGCGGGACGGCAGCTAGGACGACTAGCGGAGTCTTCTTGAGCTCATCGGACGATGAGAGGTCCATAGGAACGAATTGCATTGAGGGCCATTCCTGTTGAGGGAGGCTGAGCCATGGTGGTCCAGTCCACCAGAGAGAGTGGTTCTTGAGCTGAGAGGCGGAAATACCTCGTGATGCACAATCAGCAGGGTTGTCATTTCCTGCAATATGACGCCATGAGTCAGGTGATACCAGTTCTTGAATCTGGGAAACCCGGTTTGAGACATATGTCTTAAGCCTATAAGGCGGAGTTTGTAGCCATGTAAGGACTATTGTTGAGTCACACCATAAAAATGTTGTTTGAGGGGTGATTGTCTCCTTAAAGATTGACTGACAATGAGTTGTTAACTTAGCGAGCAGATGCGCTCCACAAAGCTCGAGTCGAGGAAGTGTTACTCGTTTCAGAGGAGCAACGCGAGTTTTTGCCATTATGGGACGAATGATGACTTCACCTGTTGAAAGATGGCAGCGGAAATACAACACTGCACTATATCCACTTTCTGAAGCATCAGAGAATCCGTGTAGTTCCACGGTGCAAGAGAGTGAGAGTGGAAACGCTCGGGGAATCGACACGTGTACTATATGTTGCACATCAGTGACAAAGGAGTGCCATTTGTCAGCTAGTTCAGGGGGCAAGGGTTCATCCCAAGACATACCTGTAGTCCAGAGGAGTTGCATGAAGCATTTGGTTTGCATTATGCAAGGGGAGAGAAACCCACAAGGGTCATATATCTTGGCTATTAAGCTCAAGACAGAGCGTTTGGTAGGGCGCTTGTCAGGCGGTATGTTGAGAGAGTATGTGAAACAATCTGTGGTGGGTGACCAATGTAAACCAAGAATAGAGAATTGTGGAGATTGAGATTCTTGCATAAACACAGGAGACTCTCGATGTTCTTCCGGCAGAGCTTGGAGTAAAGAAGTAGAGTTGGAGACCCACTTCCGGAGTTCAAAACCTCCCTGGCGCAGTAGGCGTATGAGCTGTTCCTGTATTTCTAAGGCCGCTTCCTCAGTGTCCGCACCAGAGATGATGTCGTCTACATAGGTCTGGGTCCTCAGCACGTGCGCAGCGGAGGGGAAGTTACCACCGTCGTCGTCCGCAAGTTGATGCAGAGTTTTGATGGCCAGGTAGGGAGAAGTACTCATGCCGTAAGTTACAGTGTTCAGTTGATATGTTGAGAGTGTCTCTTCAGGATGATCACGCCACAAGATAAGTTGAAACTTTCGGTCATCTGGATGTACTTGGATTTGCCGATACATTTGACGGATGTCACAGCAAACAACAATATTGTGACTCCTGAAGTGAAATAGTATGTCACAAATATTTGTTTGGAGTTTGCGTCCAATCAATAAAACATCATTGAGAGAAACACTAGTACTGGTTTTGCAACTCGCATCAAACACAGTACGGAGTTTTGTGGTGGAACTATTTTCCTTTAGCACCCCATGGTGGGGAAGGAAATAATGAGGCTTAGTCGAATCAAGATTTTGAACTTTAGCCATGTGGTCGAGTGAGCGGTATTCGCTGATGAAGTCGTGATAGAGTTGAGAGAAGTGAGGTTGAGCGTTGAATTTTCGCTCTAGATATAGAAATCGACGCTCCGCGATAGGCTTAGATGATCCTAGGGTAGCGTGATTCTCCTTGAAAGGAAGTCGAACGGTGTAGCGTCCGGTTTCATCTCGAGAGTGGGAAGAGGCAAAATGAGCATCACATTGTTCTTCTTCTTCAGTCTTCTTTGAGGGAACAGGAACTTCCTCTTGAAGCCAGAACCGTTGAATTGATGAATGCAGATCTGCTTCATTTGCTGAGTGTAGAGAGACATTGAGGCTCATAGAGTGGAGAGTGGATACGGAGGGTGCGCTGGGAGCAGTACCCACTACAACAAACCCAAAATGCGTGCCAATTACATGTGGCATATGCTGTCCCAGAGAGAACTGTTCATTAGTAAGTACTTTTGGAAATAAACTTCCACCTAGGATAACGTCAATTCGTCCAGGTAAGTGGAATGTGGGATCAGCGAGAATGTAGCGTTGGGTCTTATTGTAGACTTCTGGAGCAAGAGGTACTCTGGGTAAATCCACAGTCAATTTATCCAGGATTAGCATTGGCTGGTGAGGAGCAATTACGAGACCAGATAGAGTACTTACTGTAAGGTGAGTTTGGCCTTTGGGTTTTGTCATGCTTTGGCTGAGGCCAGAGATTTGAGTTTGAGACTTAGTATGGCGCACTCCTAAGAGCTGAGCTGCGCGCTCGGAAATTAAATCCGTCATACTACCTGAGTCAAGCAAAGCCCTAAATACCTGGGACTTGCCCTCAGGAGTTTTGAGTTGCACCAAGAGGGTACCCAACAGCACAGTATAACATGTTGGCATAGAGGGAGATAAGTCTTGAGAGACGTGAGTCACCTGCGAATCACTCTGTTTTTCATTAGAGCGGTGACGTGCATCAGAAGCGTCATTCGTTGTGCCACTACGGACGGGTTGTTTAGCAGCGTTACCCAGGACAGCTTGAGGATGCAATAATGAATGGTGCCTTTTGTTACACGTGAGACACGTGGCTTTAGATTGGCATTCTTTGAGTTCATGAGAACCTAAGCATGAGAGACATCTTTTATGTCTATTGACGAGCTGACGTCGTTCATGAGGAGTTTTGTCACGAAAGACAGTGCATGAGTAGACTTTATGTCCAGTCTGATTACAGACAAAGCATGGAGGAGGCGTAAAACGTTTGAGAGTAGTTAGAGTGAGTCGTGACCATGGATACGTCACTAGAGCGGAAATGCACTTTTTTTGGCGGAGACGCCTTGTTGCGAGCGTGAGGGAGGAGATAGGCTGGAGCCTTAGGCTGCGGAACGCTATGAATGTTAGCGTCCTCAGTTTGGCTGCACTCAGTATTCAAAAATGTAATTATTTCTTTAACTTCCGGCAGCGAGTGGTCAATCGGTTCATCCGATGAGATTGAACGAGAAGCTTCGAGTTTCTTTCGTAAATCAGAGTCCATACGTCGGAGAATGAGGGCAGGGAGAGGAGCGGATTGTGTTCGCCTATGTCACAGTTCAAAGCTTTCAGTGCTTGAGAGTGTTCTGTGTACTGGTTGACAAAGAGTCTGAGGCCCTTTATAGAGGAAGAGCTTATTTGAGGCAGGTCCAGTAACTGATTCAAATGGAGAGTTTGTAACCTTCGAGTATTATGGTAGCGATCACGCAAGAGTTCGTATGCTATGAGATAATTAGCAGAGGTTAAGTTGAGACCTTTAACTAGGCTTAACGGTTCGCCACTTAAAACGCTCAACAAGTATTGAAATTTCATTACCGCACTTAGACTGGCATTGCGGTGAATAGTTGTATCGAATAGATTAATGAAGGAAGTCCAAGTCATAAGATCACCTGAGAACTTCTGCAAATCTAATTTTGGTAGACGGACCTGAGAAACACTAGGGCCCTGTGGCGTCATGCTGACGTCACTCAAAGCCGAGGGGGTTTTGGGTTCTTCGACTGGAAGTAGCGTTTCGATTATACCCAAAATATGGGCGTAAAGATCATTTATATTGTCCTGATCTTCCGCTAAGACATCGTCATCAATGGCTTCTTCGTCCGTTAGATTTAAGGCACGTTGCAAGTTAGTGTCAAAATCCGCTTTATTTTTCTTTATTTCGTTAGAAAGAGTTGTTAAGCTCTTTAATTGAGCAGGCGTCAGAAGTTCCTTTTGTGTAGCGAGTTCTTCAACTTTAGTTTTTATTTTATCGAAGCGTGCTTTAGTTAACGCTGTGATGCGAGTATAGAGAGCTGCCTTGAAATCAGATGCTTTAGGTACCATTTTGAGTTTTCAGCGAAGTAAGCAGTGAAATATAGTTAAATGTTTAAACACTATTGTAAGCAGAACGCTAAATATATATTTGTTTGTAGGCCTATTTATATTTTTAGAATAGACATCAACAAATTATTTGCAATAAGAACAATAAACAAACAAGAGAGTATTTTTCAAGTCAGAGATAAGCTTAATCTGCACTTTAAGTTTGAGCAGCTGTATTCTTTTAAATGTAAATCAGAACAAGAGAATAAAAGATAATGATTCAATTTGATACACACACATCAAAAAAAATATTAAAACTCAAAATATTGATTTGTTGGTAGAAATTCTTATAACTAAAAATATTACTAATTAATATATCTTATTGACTAAACATAAATTATTTTGATGGTGATGACATTTACTGTGTAAGTGAACATAACCCTTTGACAACTTTTTGGATGTTTGATGAATTTTACTAAAGTAAATAAATTAAGCCAATACTCATATACTGGGATAATCCGCTTATGCCAAAGAAAAGCGTTGAAACACCGATTAGTTTCAGTATTTTACTCACACTGTCAAAATTGCCATTCCGATGTTGTACTAAACCAAACTATGCCTTAAACCTCTCTCTAACAACATTGCAAAGTTTAAGAATTAGAAGGCCGTTTTTTTATTCTTTTTTTGTGATCGTATACTCAAATATTCGTTAGTCATTAATCAAGTTGATTCAAAATGCAAGACTAAAATTTACATTAGAGGAACAATCATTCATGTTATAGTGTATAAGGTAATAGATTATTTTACCATTCATATCAACGAACAATTATTCACATTCACTAAGTACCCTACTAGTCCAACATTATATTATAACTTTATATAATAAAGATAATTAGAACATAAAAAAAACACTCATGAGGCAAGAATTATTATTATTTTACTGTAATTAAGTGTAATATATGATTATGAATTGATAATGTAACCAGATTGTTTTAATCATAAAGAATCAAAGTTAATGTTAACAAAATTTCGTAATTTTTGCAAATAAAAACATTCAGTAAACAAACGATAAGAAAAACATAAATTATTTCATATGCCTAAATTCTATTATTTTAATAATAGGTATTTAAAACTATAGCATTGATTTTCTTATACAAAATAAAATTTTAGCTCGTCTATTATACTTGCTTTTAGAATTTCTTTTATGAATTAGACTTTTAATTGAACTCACGTATTGTTTCTAAAATCCAAAATATGTGGAAACAAATAACCATTTAATGAATATGGACCTATTTATAACAATTATCTTTGAATACTTTTTTTTTAATAAAAACTAGCAATCCGTATTATGTATGCCCTAAAGCATTTTTTATTATATTTATAAATTGGTTAAATTATCATCGTTGTATGCTGTAGAAGATCTGAAAATAAGTGAGAAAATCACTATTGTTATTACCGATCTAAAAAGTATTCAACTTTTTCTCCTGCACAATATTTGTTAGGTCCGAGATATGGACCACATAGTGCCCATTACATTGTTAAAACTTTCGTCATCCTTTCGTACAATGTTGTTAAGGGCCTGTTAGGGACATTGTTACGGGGGCATTTCTGAACGATTTTTTATATCATTTATCTGTACGTTTTTCAATGTTAAATAAATCCAAAAATACTAAATGAATAATATTTATTTATATTTCTTATGCAGTTAGTACGACACGTATTTTTGTGTACGTATAACAATAGTCAAAAACATAGTAGTTTGTTTTGTTGTAAACCTATTTCAGTATTTTTGAGAACACTATGTATAAAATAGCATTTCAATTTAAACCTATATGCTTGAAAAAAAAATTGGGGTTTCCATATAGAACCCGTTTAGATTAACTCACAATATTATCTAAAAAGCCCTGGTATTAAATATTATGAAACTAGGAGTAATAATTTATAACAGATCCTTAATTGTTTGTAGTAATTATGGTCAATTTACTTTTTGATAATAATCACAATTTTTTATTTAATGTACACTAAATTTACTTAAAAGTAGTTAGAAAGCAATAGAACACAATAGAGTTAACAGGTACTTAACTTTTTAACAGACACCTTCTTTTTTTGGAAATAATAGTTAAACAAATAATGCAACTGAAGGCTTTTTACTGAAAAAAGCATTATTTTAAACTGATTATACCTCATTTTCTAAAATTGTAAGTCAAGTTTATTTTAATTGTTTTCAAGAATAGATACTTCATACTTAAGAGCAAATGAGTAAATATTACAAAATAGAAACTGCTGTATTTAAAGCTTAGAAGCAGTTACATAAAGTTACATATATGGTTACATGTAGTCCTAATGATATAAATCATTATTCAATACACTAATCAATAGAAATCATATATAAATCAACATAATCTTATGGTGAAGTAAAATATAAGTTACAAGGACAATTTATACTTTAAGTTAAAACTCTACACGTGGTTGTGGTGTATGAAATCTGTAGAGGGTTTCATACTCAAGAGCAACACACTTTATTACCTGCCCGAGGTAGTGTTCACCACATTATTGTGGTAAATGAAGTACCCGTGTTTTACGAGCTATTCAACTTCAAAAATAATAGCACAAAATAATAGTTGAATACAAATGTATTGTACTTACTGGCATGAGATTAGACAAAAAAATCATTAATAATTATGTATATTAAGATAACATTTTTATAGAACCTTGATCTTAAATATTTTGTATTCAGGTAATATTCAATTTAGGGATTTAATTTTAAAGACTTGTACTTTACAGTAAAGGAAACATAACTGTAAAGTATCTTAGTAAAATGTATTTAATTATATTTATACTTTAAATTGTTGCAATACATTAATTCATATTTAAAAAAAAATTCTATGTCTTAGCATAGAAGAATTACACTTCTATTTATACCTGTATTATAAATGAGAAAGTGCTTAAAGGGTGAAGAAGAAGAAGAAGAAGAAAGAAGAAGAAAAAGTGTTTATTGAAATAAAATATCAATACAGTGTTTTTACATAAACACAAAGAACAATGGTCAAAGACCGTCTGTTTTGTGGTTGACATACTGATTTTACAATATTTTAAAACACATTAAAAAAGAGTCCATAAATCACAAACTATAATTCATTAAATAAACTGATTTCTAGTAACAAATACACAAATAGCACTACATAGTAAAAAGGATCAGTTAGCAAATGAATCAAAAATAAAATTTAAAATATAGCCTATTGATAATCTGAATTTATTCTACAAACAGCAATAAAATATAAGTAATAATAAAAAATAAAATAAAAACAAGCCTATTTTTACTTAGACAAATACTTAACAAACAATATTTTATACATTTTTAAGTACATAAATTTTCCCACTTTTGTATTGATATCTCAATTATTAAATTTAATAATTAAACTCCATTATCAATTCCCACCTTTTACACCACGCCTCTTTAAGATAATTTCCCAATGCCCGCCAATCTTTGCCATTTAAAAATTCAAAAAACTCATATTCATTTAAATATAACTTGTTAAACCAAATTTGACGTACATTTTTTAAAATTGGACATTCTGCTATAAAATGGTACACCGTTTCATCTCGGTTGAGATTACATAGTGAACATAAATAAATTTGATTTTCCATCCAGGGCTTATAGTTAAGATTTATTAACTCTGTTCTAGCTTTTATAATCCAGGACATAAGTTTAACATTTAGGTCCGCAAAAAGGAACGATCTATCTCCAAGGTGGAGGTCAAGGTTCAGATACTGCTGGTGATAACGACTAGTCAATGCCGAACCCAGACAATCCTGTCGCCAAGCCGTCCTCTCTAACTCTAATAATTCAAACAATCGAGATTGAAAAATTTGCAATCTGTTAAAATCGACGTCCAACGCTACTCCCCGTCTTTCGCCCATTTTTAACATCTCCCTGTACCAAAATATTTTTTTCAAAATTATCTGCCTAGCCAAGATATAAGGAAGTCTATTCACTGGTAAAAACAATACTCTAATAATATAACCAATGTGCAAACTTAATGTGTAAAAATAAACCTGATCAAACTGACATTCTAGGTGTAATACGTAATTTGGAGTATTTTGAGGCAATCTAAATAATTTTTTGACAAAGTTATTTTGAGCAGATTCAACCGTTTTACTCTTAATAAAACCCCAAACTTGTGCTCCATAACTCAGCAACGCTCTAACTATTGAATTATAACACACTATTTTTGCATTAATCGGCACTTGATTATTACTTATTAAATTACTCCAGATTAAATTAACAGCTAATTTGGAAGCTGACGATTTTTCTTTAAAATGCATTTCCCACGAGAGTGAACTTGTAAAGTTTACTCCTAAATATTTATAATTGTTTACAATTTCAATTTGTTCACCCTTGTACCACCATTTAGAACTGGACCCAAGCCTCCCACCTTTTCTGAAAACCATAATTTTTGATTTAGCTAAATTTAAGCGTAAATTCCAAGTTTCACAGTAATTCTCCAATCGTTTAATCATGTGTTGAAGGCCGGTTGCAGTTGGAGATAAGAGAACGATATCGTCAGCATACATCAGGACATTGACTCTTACTCCACCATAACAACATCCTCCCTCTAGTACATCTGGCAAGTCGTTTATAAAAATAGCAAAATTCGTTGGGCTACATATACAACCTTGCCTTAAACCCATGGAGGTGCTGAAGTGCTCAGTAATTCCCTCCTGACACCACACTGTTGCTTTTGTGCCTTGATAATAATTTTTTAGCATATTTCTGAATTTTGACGACACACCCATACAAGACATTTTATAAATTAAAGCCTCCCTATCTATCGTATCAAAAGCACTTGAGAAATCCACAAAAAAAGTAAATAATTTACCCTTTTTTTCCGCTAATTGCAGATGAGCTATACAAGTGAGATTAAAAATGTTATCTATAGTCGAGTAACCTTGGCGAAATCCTGCCTGGAATTCCGTGAACAAACCTTTACCGTTGACCCAATTTACTAATCTGTTATTTGTTA